TTCTTCACCAACACCACAACTCAGCAGTATCAACTCATCTTCAGTCTTCCTTGTTCATTGTCCAGCTCTCACATGCATATGAGTCAATTGAAAATACCATGGCTTACATTAGGCACACCTTAGTCTTCAAGGAGACATTTTTGTTCTTCAGCACTTTAAAGAGGTCTTTTGCAATATGTTGTCTGATGTCTTGACTGCTGCTTCCATTGGTGTTGATTATAGAACTAAGTAATATGAAATCTTTGACAACTTCAATCTTTTCTCCATTAATTGTGATGTTGCTCATTGGTCCAGTTGTGAGGATTTTTGTTTTCTTTATGTTGAGATGTAATCCATACTGTAGACTGTATTCTTCAATCTTCATCAGTAAGTGCCTCAAGTCATCTTCACTTTCAGCAAGCAGAGTTGTGCCATCTGTGTACGCAGGTTGCTAATGATTCTCCCTCCAATCCTGATGCTATGTTCTTCTTCATATAGTCCAGCTTCTCAGATTATTTGTTCAGCATAAAGATTGAATAAGTATAGTGAAATGATTAAACCATGCAGTGTCCCCTTGTTCTGTTTGAAAAACAGCATCCTAGTCTATTTACACGTTCCTGATGAGCACAATCGAGTGTTCTGGAATTCCCATTCTTCTCAATGTTATCCATAATTTGTTATGATCCACACAGTCAAATGCCTTTGCATAGTCAATAAAACACAAGTAAACATATTTCTGGTATTCTTTGCTTTGAGGCAAGATCCATCTGACATCAGCTATATCTCACGCCCCACATCCCCTTCTGAATCCCACTGGCATTTCTGGAAGTTCCCTGTCAATATACTGCTGCAACCATTTTTGAATTATCTTCAGCAAGATTTTACTTGCATGTGATATCAATGATATTGTTAGATAATTTCCACATTCTGTGGGATCACCTTTTTTTGGAATGGGTATAAATATGGATATCTTCCAGTCATTTGGCCTGGAAGTTGTCTCCCAAATCTCTTGGCATAGCTGAGTGAGTGCTTTCAATGCATCATCCATTTGTTGAAATATCTCAATGGGTATTCTGCCAATTCTGGGAGCCTTGTTTTTGCCAATTCCTTCAGTGTAGCTTCGACTTCTTCCTTCAGTACCATTAGTTCATGATCATATGCCACCTCCTGAAATGGATGAACATCTACAAATTATTATTTTTGGTACAGTGACTCTGTGTGAAGTTCATCCATCTTCTTTTGATGTTTCCTGCATCATTCAACATATTCCCCATGGAATCTTTTGGTATTGCAATCTGAGGCTTAAATTTTTTCCTCAGTTCTTTCAGCTTCAGAAATGCTGAGAGTGTTCTTCCCTTGTGGTTTTCTAACTCCAATTCTTTGTACAGTTCAGGATAACAGTTGACTTTGTCTTCTAGAGCTGCTCTTTGATATCTTTTGTTCAGCTCTTTTATCCTGTCTATTTTTCCATTTGCTTTAGCTACTCTTCACTCAAGGCAAGTTTCAGAGTCTCTTGTCTTTTTAATGACCTTTTGCTTTCTTATGGATGATGTTCTTGATGTCATCTCACAATTCTTCTGATTTTCAGTCATTGGTGTTCAATGCATCAAATCTATTCTTTAAATGGTCTCTCAATTCAGGAGGGATATAATCAAATCACTTTAGTACTTGTGGAGTTGTTTTAATTGTCTTCAGCTTCAACTTGAACTTGCATGTGAGCAGTTGATGCTCTGTCCCACAATCAGCTCCTGGCCTTGTTTTTACTTGTATTGAGCTTTTCCATCACATCTTTCCACGGATGTCATCAATCTGATTCCTGTGTACTCCATCTGTCGAAGTCCATGTGTATAGCTGCTGTTTGTGTTGTTGAAAAAATGTATTTGCAATGAATAAGTCATTGGTCTTGCAAAATTCTATCATGCAATCTCCAGGGTCATTTCTATCATCAAGGCCATATTTTCCAAATACTGATGATTCTTCCTTGTTTCCAAATTTTGCATTCTAATCACCAGTCATAATTAATACATCTAGATTGCATGTTCAGTCGATTTCAGACTGCAGAAATTGATAAAAAATCTTCAATTTCCTCATCTTTGGCTTTGGTGGTTGTTCTGGTTACCTAGTGCCATTCTAACAGGAATATACCACAAATGGGATGGCTTTAACAAACAGGAGTTTATTCTGACAATTTGGAGGCTTTAAGTCCAAGTTCAAAGTGCCAGGCTCTAGGCACTAGGTGGAAAACCCCTCAGCCTTGGGCATCAGCACTGCCTCCAGCTTCTGGCCCACTGAAGCTAGAGGCTTTTCTTCACTCAGACAGCTGCTGGCTGCTGAGCCCGCTAAGCCAAGGTTGACAAGTAAAAAGGCACAGTCCCGATGTTACCAAACCATATGGCAGGTTATTAATTCAAGTCCATTGTAAGTCCCAGGATTGGCAGAGCATGGCAGGCTGCTGAACAACGACACGGCTACATGCAGGGACCAAGCATGCCATAAGCTAGAGACCATTCCCAAAGCTGCTTCTTATATACTCAGTTGCTTGTAGTAGATCTCACCATGGAGTTGATTGCCAGTCTCATCATGGGGAATAATTACTACCAGCTTCCCAGCCACTCAACCAGGCCCAGCCAGTTGACACACAAACATAACCACCACAATGGTTGGTGCATAAATTTCAATAATACTAACATAAACTGGTCTTCCTCATGTTGTTGTTGTTGTTATGTGCCGTCAAGTCGGCCCCGACTCATAGCGACCCCTCCTTGGGTTTCCGAGGCAGTATCACTACGGAAGTAGGATTGCCCAACCTTCCTTCCGAGGAGTGGCTGGTGGGTTTGAACTGCCAGCCATCTGGTTAGCAGGCAAGTGTCTTAGCCACTATGCTACCAGAGCTCCTGGTCTTCCTCATAGGTGTATGCATATTATACTATCATTGACAGCATTGTTCTTCAAGATAGATCTTGAAACATATTTTGTGACAATGAATGTCATGCCATTCCTCTTTGATTTGTCATTCCAGCATAGTAGATCATATGGTTGTCTGATTCAAAATGGCCCAAACTGATCCCTTTCAGCTCACTAATGCCCAGGATATTGATTGATCTTTATGGGTTCCATTTCATTTTTGACAAGTTCCAGTTTTCCTAGGTTCATACTTCATACATTCCATGTTCCAATTATTATTAATGGATGTTTGCAGCTGTTTCTTCAGTCTTGCCACAACAGCAGATGAAGTTCCTGAAGACTTTACTCCATACATATCATTAAGGTCATCTCTACTCTGAGAAGGAGCTCTGGTAGCATAGTGGCTAAAGCACTTGACTGCTAACCAGAAGGCTGGCGGTTCAAACCCACCAGTCACTCCTCAGAAGGAAGGTTGGGCAATCCTACTTCCGTAGTGATACTGCCTTGGAAACCCAAGGAGGGGTCGCTATGAGTCGGGGCCGACTCGACGGCACATAACAACAACAACAACAACAACTACTCTGAGAAGGCAGCTCTTTCCCAGTCACATTTTGAGTGTTTTCCCACCTGAGGGGCTCATCTTCTGGCACTATATCAGACAATGTTTCAGGGATGTTCATAAAGTTTTCCGGTAATATATCAGACAGTGTTTCACTGCTATTCATGAGGTTTTCATCGGCCAATTCTTTGAGAAGTGGATGGCCCCTTCCTTCTTCTGAGTCTATCTTAGTCTGGAAGTTCCACTGAAACCTGTCCACCATGGGTGACCCTGCTGGTATTTGAAATACTGCTGGTATAGCCTCCAGCCTCACAGCAACACACAAGCCACCACAGTACGAGAAACTGACATATGAGTTTTAAAGTATTACAAAGCAAATATGTCACTTTAAGGAGTAAGGTGTGCCTGACTCATACCATGATATTTTCAATTAGCTCATATACATGCAAAAGCTAGATAATGAATAAGGGAAATGGAAGAAGGATTAATGCATTTGAATTTTGGTGTTGGTGAGGAATATTGAATAGATTGCCAGAAAAATGAAGGTATCTACCTTCGAAGAAGTATAGACATGATGCTCCTTAGAAGTGAGGATGGTGAGATTTTGTCTCACATACTTTGGACATGTAATCAGAAGGAACCAGTCCTTGGAGAACATCATGCTTGGTAGACAGTGAGCAAAAAAGAGAAAGATCCTCAACAAGATAGATTGATACAGTGGTTGCAAAAATGGGTTAAAACATAGCAATGATTGTGAGGATGGTTCAGGAAAGGGAAGTGTTTTGTCGGGAAGTGCTTCATTCTGTTGTACTTGGGGTTGTTATGAGTTGGAACTGATTCAACAGCATCAAACAACAACAGAGTTGCTATGAATGAGAGTCAACCTGACAGGATTTTTTTATGTGTTTAATACTGCAAACAGTACTCAGCTAAACAGAGCAGTAACATATCCTGCTTTAGAGCTTAGCTCTTATTTCCTCTAGTTGCTATCATGTCAATTCTGATTCATGGCAACTCCATGTTTTGCAGTGTCCTGAAGAAGTCTTGTTGGAAGAAAAGCACTTTCTAGGAAGTTAAAGTTATTTTGTGTGTTTATGGAGCAGGTCAGCTCCAGGTTCCATGAGGTTTTGTTATCATTGAACTGAGCCAAGGCCCACAGAAATATCAGCGTGTTCATCTTCAGAACTCTAGATCTTGGTGGTGCAGGTTACAGAGAGGGGAGGGCTTAAAAAAGCAGAAAACGTATGTTGGCTTTGGTAGCAGGCTCTTATGTAGACTTCACTGCCTTGCCATTAACTAACTGACAGAAGGATAAGCATTTCCAAGTTTAGTGTTTCTCATGAGTATCAAAGAAGCAGTTAAACCACACTACACTGTCCATAGGAGAGGTCGGAGGAAAGTAGTAGTGGGGATTGGAAAGGGGCCTCTAGTTTGACATTTTAAAATTAAAATAATGATACAAGTAAGAGTCTGTAGTTTGATATGAACTAGATTAAGATCCTTTAAATCTGCTCTGCACTTAAATGTGTTAAAAATAACAAAAAAAAAGCTCACTCACCATAGACTATGACAGTTGCAGTTGTGCTTTTCCTCTTGGCAACAATGTTTTTGGCGACACAGGTATAATTTGCAGTATCTGAGAGGCGAGCCTGCTTTATGATGAGGTTGTGATCAATAGTAATATAGAAATTCCGATCTTCAACTGGATCAATTATGTCTTCATTTTTCAGCCATTCCACCTAAAGATGCACAAGAAGATATACATTCCTGTTATGGATGCCTTGATCCATGCTTGTGTTTTGTCACATGTATTACACTGTTCCATGCCATGAACTTCTGCAAACTGATTGGAAGTAACTTGCTGAGGTCATGTTGAGAATCACTCACTTGCCAAACATGCTGATTCTGTCTGTACTATATTATTCTCAAATGTCAATGAACCAATTGGGAAATACAGTGTTCAAATTGTTTTCACTCTGCCCTGCAGGCAGGAACAGGGGAATGCGTACTGCCAAGTTCAGAACCCAATCAAAAATAATAGGCTAAGCATTTCAAACTGAACTCAAACCTTTTTGCTATTTGATTTGTTTACTCTTGGTAACTTACCTGCTGCTTTTCAGAAAAGAATATAAGGACTATACAAAAAGTTCAAAAGACATCGTGGACATCATGTTGCTCTAATAAAACAAGATTTGGATGATATATGTGTAGCCTTGCTGAAACATTGTGGACTAAATTTCTCCAAAATGCACTTTATAATGTAGCAAAACACATACTTGGAGATACATCTAAACCAAACTATTTTGGGGAGAAAAATAGTTTTTTCTATCAACCCACAATACAATACAAATAGCTGATTACTTATATTCAAATCTCTTCTTTTGTACATTACTAGTATTTAAATTTTTGGCTCATGTGTTGCTTTTGGAGAACTCAACCTCAGGTGCAGCTATTCAAAACTATTATTTCTTCTATGTAAGTAATACCAGTGTAGCAACCATGATGTTATCTTTATGGATAAAAGGAAAGGAATATACCTGTATAAACTGGCCTTATGGAGGACAAACTATTTCTTGTTGTAAACTGCTTTGTTTTTTGTTTGGCTATGCACATATTTTTCCATAAAGCAAAACAACATTGATATTTACCAAACTTAAACTTTCCTATTGCATTATCTTACAGGTAGATACATGTAACCTTTCATGGTAGGGAGTCAATAGTGATGCCATTTTCAACATCTTAAGGAGCTTTTCCAACACCACAAGGAGTCTGGAAATTAATCTCTAAATCTGCAGTGGGTTTGATGTTGTTGCACAACTCTAAATTATATCTAGTGCAGGACTCTAAAATAATGCTCCTTAAATCTTTAATGAGAGAGTAAAAGGAAAACCAACAATCCTGAAACAAAAAGACACATAATGATGCTGATAAGAGCAACTATTTGTAATACGTAATTTTGAAATAGCCAAACATTCTTGAACTTTGCACTATTAATAGGAAGAATAGAATAGACATCTATCTACCTAGACCAGTAGATGTTTCAAATGTGCATTTGTTTTTCAAATACAAGCTGCATATTGAGTCAAGGGCCATGCCTGGATGTATGTAATGGTATACACATACTCTCTGGACCTCTATTTTTTCAAAGTTTAGCCCTGTGCTTGAATAATATGATCTCACTGGAAGTGTAAGGAGAAAGTAGCAGAATTCATACTATTTTTATTAGTTAAAGATAATACACTCAAAAACTCACTGCCATGGAGTTGGATCTGACTCATAGTGACCCTTCCTTGGGTTTCTGAGATGGTATCACTACGGAAGTAGATTGCCCAATCTTTCTTCCGGGGAGTGGCTGGTGAGTTTAAACTGCCAGCTCTATACAAAGAAGACATTATTTTTTATTCTGATTTCTGCCTAGCTTATCCATGTTATTCTATCAAAGCGAGAGTTGTACTTCAAGAAGATACTGTTGCACTCAAAAGGTCTTGAATCCCTTTTACCCTTTCTGTGAGTCTCTCTCCCAAGCTTACTTTTCTTTCAAGGACCCATATCTACTACTTTTCTTTGGAGGATGGCCTCCAGACTGCAGTACTGCACTCTCTTTGCCTGGATGTACCCAGGAATTCACAACTTCCCCCACAATAAACCAGTTGTTGTCGAGTTGATTTTGACTCATGGTGACACCATGTGTGTAACAGTGGAAATGTGCTGCATCCAGTTTCCAATTGTTGATCTTTCAGAAGTAGATCACCAGACCTTTCTTCTGAGGTGTCTCCACGTGGACAGGGACCTCAAACCTTTGTGTTAGCAGCTAAGTGCATTAACCATTTGCAACACCCTGGGACTTCTCACCCCACAATAGCCTTTAGTCACTGACTCATGAGTGCTGAAGTATGCCTTGGGTGCAGTTGGGCCATAATCAGAGCTTTCTGTTTCTAGTTCCCTTGAGGAGATCAGGCTAATGCTACTCTTCCTGAGAATTTTCCTGAAATTGCAGTCCTCCTTGGTTTCTTCTTTTCTATCCTGCTTGTGCCATTCACTTATGGGCCTTTTTTGGGAGCACTTCCTTAAAAGGCACTGGCATTCAAATCTTTGGTTCATGGTTTGCTTCTGGAAACCCTAACCTGTCTCAGGACCGTTCCGAATGATTGTTCCTTCTATGTAGATAATATAAATTCAAGAACAGTGATATATTAATCATAAAAGGCATAAAGTGATCCCAATGGATATTACAAACCACTTGTTTATTTGAAGAGTTTATTACATAGAAGAAAGACAATCTGCACAGTTGACAAAAGATTTAAAGAGAGTTACACAGGATTATTGGGCATATGATCTTTACTTTCTATACATAACTCCACATTTTCCTTGGGGGCCTGTCATCAACATTGTAGCACTGATTATGTCCTGAGTTCTGAGGGGCCCCAACAGCACTGTGGAGGCCGCAAGAGTCCTGTAGAGGGGTACTGACCTTCTCCCTTAATTACTGTTTTAACCAGAGATGTTTAGCTTTTATCTGTTTCCATTTTGGACATGATTGCCTGTGTTTAAGTTCTACAGCTAGAACATAGCTGTACGAAGGAAGAGAGGATCCTCAGGTTTCTGGAAACACCCCTATGGTTGCCTAAACCTTAGTATTCACAGTCTTTCCCTAATTCTCTGATGGAGAACGTTATCTCTATGAGAAGCTCAGATCAGGACTCCACGTCCCCCACACCTTCTGCACTAGAATCCCCATTCTGCTCTGGACATCCCTGTCTCTCTCCTTTCTCCAAACTCCTGAAATATTTCCATACTGCATTGGGATACAGCAGAAACATTCCCCAAAATGTCAACTTCTTTTTAGGTTGTTTCCTTCACCTTTTCTCTAACTAAAACCTAGTTCTTCCTGATGCCAATATTTCTTCTGGAGTCCTCTTAAGTATCAAATATTTGATCTCCCAAATCCTATATCCCACTGGGTATGGGTGATTTGGGGTCCTCCTTTCTCCATATTGTCTATTTTAGACCATTGTCCCCAAACAACTCTGTTTGGAATCTCAAAAGGTCAAATCATGGCACCCATTTTCTGTATTTTTTGTAGTCATGTACAGACCTTTGAGCTGACGGTCATTTTATTGACCATAATTTTTGTCATAATTTCTGATGTCTTTTTTAAAAAATTCAGGTAAAGTTCACATAAGATAAAATTAACCACTTTAAAGTGAATAATAGAGTTCTAGTGGTTGTGTGGAGCTCTGGTAGCATAGTGCCTAAGGCACTTGACTGCTAACCAGAAGGCTGGTGGTTCAAACCCACCAGCCCCTTCTCAGAAGGAAGGTTGGGCACGGAAGGAAGGTTGGGCAATCTACTTCTGTAGTGATATCACATTGGAAACCCAAGGGAGGGTTGCTATGAGTCGGGTCTGACTCGAGGGTACATAACAACAACAACAACAGTGGTTGTGCAACCACTACCATTATCTACTTCCAAAACATTTCATCACCCCCAAAAGGAAACCCTGTACCAACTAAGCAAGTGCTAGGGATTGCCTCAGCCCTTGAGCTCCTAGCAACCACCATTGCGCCTTCAATCCCTATGTTTTCATCTGTTCAGGTTATTTCACATAAATGCAATCAGACAAGATGTAAATTTTCCCTCTCTTCTTTCACTTTAGCATAATGTTTCTGATATTAATCCACAGTATATTATCATCAGTACTTTATTCCTTTTTATGGCTGAATAATATTCTATCATTTGTATATTCCACTTTAAAAAAAAAAATCCATTCTACTGCTGATGGACATTTGGGTTGTTTCCACCTTTTGGCTATTATAAATAGTGCTTCTATGAACATGCATGTTCATGTATTTGAGTAGTTGTCTTCAAATATTTTAGGGTATATACCTAGGCATGGAATTCTGATGAGTTTAGCACCTACAAAGAGGGTACATCTTATACCTCAGTTCCTTGACCCTCCCTTCATCAATGACCTAGGCCTTTTCTTTACCTAAATCATTCACTCCCAAGGGCATATATTCTAGACCAGATGTTTTCAACCATGGCTTTTCATTGAATAACTTGGAAAAACATTTCCAATGAACTGATGTGAAAACTAACCCAGAGCAACTCTGACTCCCTTGGTCTAGAGTGGTCTGTTGTTGTTGTTGTTAGGTGCCATTGAGTCATCTCTGACTCATAGCAACCCTATGCACAGCAGAACGAAGAACTGCGAGGTCCTGCAGCAGCTCTGTGATCCCTGCTGTACTTGAGCCCATGGCAACAGTCACTGTGTCAATCCATCTCATTGAGGGCCTTCCCCTCCTTTGCTGACCCTGCACCTTACCAAGCATGACATCCTTTTCCAGCGAATGGTCCCTTCTGACAACATGACCAAAGGTAGGTGAGACAAAGTCTGTCCATTCTCGCTTCCAAGGAGCATTCCGGCTGCACTTCCTCCGGAACAGATCTGTTAGTTCTTTTAGCACTCCATGGTAATTTCACCATTCTTTGCCAACACCACAACTCAAAAGCATCAATTCTTCTTCGTTCTTCCTTATTCATTGTCCAGCTCTCACATGCATGTGAGGTGATTGAAAATATCATGGCTTCTGTCAGGCGCACCTTAGTCCTCAAGGAGACATCTTTGCTCTTCAGCACTTGAAAGAGGTCCTTTGTAGCCCACTTGCCCAGTGCTATATGTCGTCTAATGTCCTGACTGCTGCCTCTATTGGCATCGATTATAGAACCAAGCAATGTG